CTTTCTCAAATAATAACAGCTCTTGTAGAGTGACAGCTTAAAATTTTTGTCTGATTTCTATTATTAAATTTGGACAAACAATTATATTTTGATTTTTTTAGTCTTGTACACAGGATTTATCGTATTGTGCAGTCAATATTGATCTTGGTTTACGTTTTATTCAAGCCGAAGAAAATTTTCTTATCAAACTAAATACAGTTTGGGTATGTGTATTTTAATCGGACTTTATCTTCGTATTTGCGTTTAGTTATCATTTTAGAACGACGATGAACATGTTATTCTTCCTGAATTAGTACGACCAACTCCCGAATTAATCCAACAACTTAATGAGAGCACATGGCGGTAGGTGTTTGACACGGTCTTCTTCGATCTCAAAAATGTGCTATTTTTCTGTTATCATCATTAAGACTTGTCCAAATGGAAACTAAACTACATCTTACCGAAGCTAAACGTATCGCATTAATTGCTCAAATAGATTTAACTAAAAAATTAAAACCATTTTTTACGCCCAATAATCCGTTGAATAGTCTCAAGTGAGTATAAATCATTTTATTTTACAGATATTCTAAATATAACTGTTTAGAATCTTGGCCGATCGTACAGAGAAGAAAGCACCATCATCGGATCAAATTCGACAATGTGAAACAAGTTTACGTGAATTATTAGAACGTTCATATCGTCGTCGTATAGCTCACGTTTTTTTAGGTCAATTAAAGCGTGAATATGCATATCTCAAATCGATTTATGATCGTTCATCGAAAATAACTACAGAATTGTTAGAACATCGTTCATTATATCATCTCTTTGATCATTTATTATCAAAACGTTTAACTGTGCCCGATGAAATGATTACACAAATGCGTTTAACAGACGATTATCTTCAACTTATAAAAACAAATATGATAGTTACAAATTCACAAATTCCAAATAAGAATGATGATAATAAATCATTAACAGTAGAATTCAAAGATGATAATAGTAATACTAATGTCATTGATCAAATAAAATTAGTGCAAAAACATTTTGATACTAAGTAAGTAATTAATAAGTATTATGAATTAAAACAAGTTTAAATGTATGATTTTTTTTATTTTAAGTCATGCAACTTGTTTGAAATTAACGGATTATATTGGTACTCAATCGTCTTATTTTCTACCCATGAACGCTCAACTTACGTTAACAAAATTGAATGAAGATTTAAATGAAAGAAACATACAACTGAAACAAATAAAACAACAAGATAAAGCTTAAACTTGTTAACTGTTTAGTGTGTCTGTGTGTGCATGGTTGTCAGATTAATTTTTGTATAAAGTAAATTTTTGTTCTTAATGTGTCTTCATATATTTTGTTGACCTAATTTGAATAAAGTTGGATAAAAAAACTCTACCCTCTAGCGTATTAATGTTCAATCTGATGGTGAGTTTTCCGGCTTGTCCACGTAACGCGACACTTCGCTGATCAAGTTTATAAAAAAAATATTTTCGCTTTCGAAAATTTTGAATACATCACTAGGTGTAAATTTTTAATTCTAAGAATCCGTTTAAAACGCTTTTTAGATAAAAATTGGTTTTTGAGTCTCAAAACCGGTTTTTGAACATTTCAAAAATCGGATTTTCTATTTTTAGCTGAGAAAGTTTTCGAAAAATAAATTTCTAAACATATGGTTTCGTAGAAAATTTAATTCTCTACAAAATGGCGTATTTGGTTTTGAGCTTCAGCGCTTTAAAAAATTTGTACATTTGCCGACTTAATTTTCAGTTTTTGACCCTCCAACCCGAGATAGCGACTTTATTCTTGCGTATATGGGCTGACTGTAGCACAAATAATTATATGTATAAATATCAAAATCTTCTGATCATATTAGGTCCCTCAAAAACGCTCGACAAAAATAGTGCGTAACACCGTTACGTTTATGTTTTGATGTTTTTGCCTTCAGGAAAAAACCATTATTTGAAGACCCATTTTTTCGAGGCTCTTAGAAAACTTGCTCAAAATCCCGGAAAAACCACTTTTGTAACCAAAAGCAATACAGATTCTGAAAGTAGACACTTAAGGCTATCTTTTTCATGTGTGTCTCTCAAAACCGATTTTTTGACGGAAAATCACCATTTCTGAGGGGGGTCCCTTAAATGTGAATGGTTCTTTCATATCAGGCTTAATGGTAATCTAGTACGTTTAGTATGAGAAGGGAAAGAGGAAATGTGAAAAACTTTGTTACTAGTGTTTAACTTTGTTTAGTGGTTAACAATGGAAAAAGAGAAACGTCATACGCAGGTTGAAAAATATGAATTTCTGGCGGACGTCAGATTCTTTTTTGTCCTTTATTGTGCAATATTTATTATATATTATATATTCAGATTTTATATCATGCACTAAACTGTACCATTCGAATTGTATTCAAGTTCTTCGATTTTTTATTCTTTATACTGTGTTACAATAATGAACAATAATATCATGTTTATTGTCTTGGGTTTGGCATCAGTAATGATCCACGGCGAGTTCCACTATGACTTTTTAAGATAGGGTAATTGGAAGAAATAATTTACGCACTGACGGGATTTAAAGGAAATTTCAAACATGGTCAAGCCAGAAAGGTGGTGGTCCAGATGGTAAGGGCGTCACATTGTTCGAAATCCATGTCAAAACATTAGATGCTAATATTTATTATGATCTGAGTGTTATCGATGGCTTCAATGTTCCCATGAAAGTCAGGGTATCGGACGGGTACGCATTAAGCGGTGATCTTTTTTTGCTTTACTCATCACTTTTTTTTTTATTGCAGAATTCAAGCACTGAATGCTGAAGGACCAGATGTCTATTTATTTCCAACTGATGATTCGAAAACTCACGGTCTAAAGTTGGAAAGTTTATTATTCAATTCGAGTATTGAACAATGGTGAATGTTATGAATTGAATTCTTTTAATAATTTGTATTGTTATTCAGCTCTCTAATATTTGTCAATAAATCTAATTGTAAGTGACAACTTTTTCGTGAAGTCATGGTTGGAAAGCTGTTTCGTGAAACTGGTCAAGATGGAAGTAAACTTGTAGGTTTTGTTCACTATAATATTGATTTCCTCATAATAAAAAGATTTTTAATATGAAGAAATGTTAACTTAGTGGATTACCATTCTCTCTGGTTTGACAAAACTGATCAATAGTTAATGTGCATTGCAAGTCATCGTAAAGGTAAAATATTCGATTTTTAATAAAGAAGTCATATTTTAATGCAGAAAAATCAACTCGTTTTTGATTGGAAGATGCGTCATACTTTCGCTCAACGTTCGTAAATGTACACATGTTAAAATTCAAGTGAAAATAAATATGAACACGAAATCGAATTTTTGCACGATTTCTTGATACCTTTCGGTGTATACTGAAGTAGATCGCGATTTCTAAACTGTTAACAACTATAGAAACTGACTATAGAAACTATCTTTTTCTAACGGCGATGACCTTATATTAATCCTATCAGAAATAATAAATATTTGCCATCATGTGATGATGCAGGCAAGAACAACAAATCTGTAATTACATCTTTTAACGCTGTAACCATCAAACGTAGCAAATGGCGAGTCCTATAAACGCTTTACTAGTATATTAACATAAAATGTTTGCATCTATCATCGCTAAACGCTATAGTTCAATTACGTTCGGATTCTGGTTATACATTATCTAGTATCACACAAAGTATGCAGCTCAGTAAACTTCGGCAGCTTCTCAATCTTCGCGAACTGTAATTGGTGTCTAGCTTTGTTTCCTTAATTCTTGTATTTGTGATTCATTTTTTTTTCAGATTGTTTTTAATGTTTCTGCACCAACCTTCTTTAACTCTTCTAATCATTTTCCACTCCTCTTCTCCACTTCGTACCCATTGCTACTTATAAAGTTTAATATAATAGTTAATATAAAGGGAAAAGTAATCTATCACCCTCACCCTCACTAAAAATCTTATCTCTGGTATACTCGACTTTTTTCGATCATTGTAAAGAGTTGAACTGTCGCATCAAACGTTACCAGTTAATCGTATATTGAATGTATTCATTATGTTATGTTATGTTATACTGAAAGTGCATATCAAGATATATGAACTAGCTTTAATGTATTTTGAGATATTAATTGTTCTTTGCTGCGAAGTAACGGGTATCAGTAGCGTTATCCGAAATGTGTATGTTATAAAAGTGTGACTCTTTATCAGACGATACAGCTGGATAAAAGGTGTCACTAAGAAACAATACGGGTAACATCTGTCGCACTACTGATTTCTATTTTTGATTTAATATAATTGATTCAATCAATAGTCTACAAAATGTACAAATTAGCGTTAAAGGATCGAAGTTGATAATCTCGTTAGGGGTTTTCGTTTACATGTCAGCAATGTCGAAAATGAACGGAAAGTTTAACTAGATGGAAGCTAGCACAACAGCCAATACTATTCAACTTATTATTCATCCAATAAAAATGAAGCATAAAATACCAACTAAATACCTCACCGCTCTCCTTCGCAACTCAGCTAAATCTAACAATTTTCCAAAAGCTACTCATCCAAGTTAAACACCCGTAAACTCGAAACTCCACCATGAAACACTGATCGATGACATCGAAATCTATGCCTGAGAGCCGGTGAAAATCAAGATTCACGTTGAGCGCGTGAAAACGTTGTGTTAGCCCTTCCGTTCTAGTTTAACATCATTGCTTTTTTATTATTGTATGTTTTGTTTCGATGTAGAGTTCAACTGATATAGCCCGCGAAATGGTTTATGACAGTTAACTGTGAAACTGAAAGTGGGTGTTAATTTTTCAACTGTGTCCGAAGTTTTATAAAATTATGCTTGGGCAATTAGGTCCATAGCTATTAAGTTGCGATATTGAACAATGACTTTTCTGGTAATAGGAGGGTGACGGGTAGCAGTACAATGGCTTCTTGCGAATAGAGCACAATGAACACCACAGGATGATGTATCGTCTTGCTGTCCAAAAGACTTTGGGCGAGCTATGGATCATTGGTTAAAGTCGATTTTTCGTCCGAATGCTGGATAATGTTGAATGTCTAACAATTTTAATATTGATTGTATATATTTTGTTTTGGGGAAGGTGTTTGACAGTGCAGAATCAAATTCAATGATAAACTTGCTTTGAATATTAATTATATACATCAACCAAGATTGATGATGATGAATGGGAAATAAAACAATATTATTTTTAAACCATTCATTGTGAGATAGAATAAAATCTTTTGCAGCAAATCCACGTTGAATGAATGTGTGTGTACCAACTGAATCGAATAAAATTGTGTTTTGGACGAGTTTTGCTGTTAGATATAAATGTGCATTTAGGATTGTATCATTTAATTCATAGTTTGGTTGAATTAAATTTTTTAAATCATCTGCTGATAAATCATACCGATCAGTAACATAATGTGCAGTTTTTTGTGATAATTGACCACTGACTATGTTGATGTTTTTCTTATCTGGTTCAGGTAATAACTTCCATGTACTAATGTCTAATTGTTTTTCAGCAGGTGTTGAATATGTATCAACTGTTCCTTCGTTTGCTTTATAGCAGAGCAACACCTGGGTTGCAGCAGCTAGAAACGTTTCAATCGAACCATTTGATAATGGTTCGAATCGTTTAAACGATTGATTATAACATAAATAGTCGGAGTTGGAACACTTTTTAACAATAAGCGTTCGTGCATCTTCAGTAATAACTAATAAAATATTTAAATAATAATCAACAATAGTCGATGTTAATTCACATCTTAGTGATAAATGATCTCTTATTAATCGACGCAAACCAGCATTTCTTGTATTATGGATTACTAATAAATGGCTTGGATTGTCAGAGATTATGTAACATTCGTTTTTAGTGTGTATTTTACCAGGACAATTACGACCTGAAGTATTCAAATCGATTTATAAATCAGTGTTGCAAACATTCCATTATAAGCGCTGACTGTAGCCACATTTCTAGTAAAAAGTAAACTTATGACATAATAAGTGGATAACTTACATTGCAGATTTGGAACAAAATACTTCTGAACTAGTTTATTTTCTAAATCTAGAACTCCATCGGATGAAACATCTGATTCATTTGAAAACTGAAGATACTCACAACCAATAGAACGCCACCCTACAGAAAGAAAAATAGTATTCTACTTTAATACTCAGAAAAACTGTTATTTACGACACCTACTTTCAGTACACTGTAAACATGTGTACGAAAAAGCAAAAACCCAAGATAAAACATTCGTTTCTTTTAATATGGCATTTAATGCATTTGCTAACGCCGTTTTTGAATCACTTGTTCTTGTTGCACTACGTTGAATCGTATCATCAAAGTTATTTATAATTTGTCTTAATATATCGGTAAAATCAGTTTTCTCGGTTAATGGACGACGAATATACATTGCTGCTACTGCAGTATAAGATTCAGAAAATAGAATTGATTCTTCTACCTTTTCTATTGTATTATCATTACATTGTACCACTGTGCTCCGTATTCAGAGTAGGCTAAATAATGCCTACTGTTATCACTGGAACAGACACTGACAATAAAAGAATATAGGTCGTAACGTGAATAACATGGAAGGGCAATAGTATTTGTTGAAAGAAATCTTTCCATGTTAACTGATCGTTTTAAATAAAATTGATTTGTTTCTACTAATGTACCAGAAATATAACCAGCAGCTATAAAATTAAAAAATAAATTTTGTGGTAGTTTTGTTATTTCACTTGAACACGTATGATTATTAGATCGTGTGGAACACAGCTGACAAGTTTTTAAATCTCCAGTATCTGGTGTAAAATAACTTGTTAATGATGTTTCAGGCATTGCTTTTCCACTACAATGTGAGGTTCGAAGAGTAAATGTTGAATGTTTCTCTTCGTATAACAGATTTAATCCATGGCATGAATCACATTTTAATGTTGAAATTATATTCAATTCAACATCAATGAAATTGGATACCGTTGGAACAAGAATATATGAAAGATAATCACGTACACAACTTGTTTTATCAACTTCCTGAATTATAGGGATATATGTATTTGTACTATTCTTATATTGTTTTGGACCATATTCTCGAAGGTCATTTACATGAGCAATTATTGCTTGTTCAGTAATGACAGCAGATGAAGGTGTTTTTTCAAGCTGAATTAAATATGATGTGATACTTTGTTCTACTTTCGAATAATATTCGTCTTCGAACAAGTCACTTTGTGATTTTAAAAGGTTGTTCAATAATTCTCTACTACTTAATATCAACTGCATCGAAGAATTAAGCCAACATAGATTTTTACTTTGAACTTGAGCCAGGTGAAAACGATTCTTTAATATTGTGTTTATTTTTAGATTCAGCAAGTTGTTGCTTGAATTTATCGAAATTCGTATCTGTGACACGTAATATTACCGGTTGTTTGGGAACTTCTGACATTATTTTATCTCTCACTGAAGGGCGCTGAAGGAGTAAATCAATTAGAGATCGATGTTCTGTCGGCAATGATGTTAAATTATCCTCGACTTTCATATGTACACATGTGTTCTTTGATCCTATGTCCTAAAATAGTAATAAACAATAATTCGTATTAGCCAGCAATATTACAAATGGCGATATAACTTTACAGTCAGAATTGTAACACAAAATGTATTCAAAGAAACATGAAACATGTAACATTGTGGAGTTTTTAAAACAAAGTTCTGTAATTGGCAGTTCTTACTTTATGCGATGCATTTTTGTTATTATCGACAGAATGATGATCAGTGTTTGATTGCTTATCAATTCCATTATCCTAGAAAGATACTGGGTCATACTGCTTTTCAGTTTCGTATCACATTTACGAAGTATTCGTCATTCGTTATTGTACTATTAATAATGTACGGATATAGTTTCCACTCATCGGGTTCTAATAAATTGTACGGACTACATACAGTTTGTTCTTCAGTTGCAGAATAAGCTTGTCCTTCTTCATTCCAATGAAAATTGCCCTAAATATCGCAGGATTATCTACATGTTGTGATAACATTCCTAATGATCAGTATTGCTAAAAACACTTACATTATAAATATTAAGACAAGGTGCATTGTATGAATGACCAATACTATTGGAATCATTATTTGGTGGACCCATCTAAAGATTCATGGCACGTGCATACAACTATCAAATCTCTATCATTTTCTTCTTTTCCGATACAATACTCAACTTCATGAGATGTGGTCACTGATTTCGAGCGTGTCGTTTCTTCAATGTTCGATGAATTTGTCTGAATATAGATGAAAAGAGATACGTGTGCAAGTTAATATTTATTCTGTTACGTTTTTCCGTCCGAAAAATCAAAAGACATTTAATAGAAAAACATCAAGATTTCAACGTTTGATTTAAGAATCCTAACAGGACAGTTTGAATATGGCATAGCACTGTTTATCACGACTTTTTACCATTTCTTTGCCACGATGAATTATATTAACAGCTTCTACCATAAGATGCAATGTGTTCGACGTATTGAGATCTGATGCCTCATCATCACTTGGTTCAGCTAAAAAGAAAAAAGAAAGAATTTAAATTACATATTGTATTGGAAAGTAGTTTAACGTACGCGTCACTTGTAAATCCGGCATTTCCAGACTCATATTTATATCACTTGTTCGACATTCTATAGTTGGATCAAGTAGCATTGTAGAACTAAGCAATTATCCAACAGCTACGTTAAGAACAAGTATCTGAAACTAAGCGAAACGTATGAGACAGCTTTTGTTTCTTGTCCTCTACATATAATAGAATATTGTAATCTTTCTTCGTTAAGATGTGCGGTTGCTACTTGATTATGAACCGGAAAATTGAATTTGTAATGGACGTTCAGTCTGTACATTATCGATGGTTATTTCAACATTAATAGTTGCGTCGATCAGGCTTAAAAGAACGTAAATACCGAAGATATTAAAAGATACTTTGATCGTTCATTCACAATTGTTCGTAGATTGTACATGTTTTTGGTCCATACAGAGAGTATCCATCTACGATTTGTATCATTTTTTTCAATTTGTAATTTACCACATAATTTGTTCAACACTAATTTTCGTCACGATTAGACCATGTTGTCGTATTTAATAAGAGTAGTTCTTCGGGCGCCAATAATTGAAAAATCTGAATGATTTTTTCGGAAGTGATTGATCTTTTTGCTGGTCGTCTTCTCTGACGAACTTCATTCTCCTTAAATAATCTAGAAATTTGGATTCTAATTAAGAAGTTAATATTCCACAATAGCCCTTCACAGCAATTATGAAAATCTCACCTTAACTGCCGGTGGTTTTTGGAAACTTCCTACTGTCAATGAATTTTTCTTCTCTCCTATATTATGTTGAACTAATTCTTTTCGAACAGAACTTGTCGAACGTTTAGCTGTTAAAAGAAGAAAATTAAAGTACTTGTGCCTACATATGACACAAAAACAAATTGAATACAGACGTTATCCTCTAACGCTGTCCTGATTTTAAATTTAACTGACTTTTCTCACGCTGTTAAATACAAATTTATATTTTCTAAGAATAAAATGAAATCTATAAAGAATCAATAGTTCACCTGTTGTTCTTGATGATTGTACTCTCTGTTTTTGCTTCTCGTAGTAAGTATCTGCATTTGTGACATTTTTTGTGAGTGAAATAACAAACATTATCAGATATTCAAGTTTGGAGGAAAATCACAAACATATATTCTTTCTAGGATGAGTCTACATTTTCATATTGATCTAGACAAAACTTTTTTTATTTATCAGATATATGTATGGTATTGCATATATATATATATATATATATGTATTTCGCATGTTATACCAGATATTTGTTAACGAACGAAATCGAACACAGTTATTATCAGTGCAGAAAAGAACAAGCAAAATAAGTTCACTCTGTAGCTTGTCCTTTACTGTTAGAGAATATAACTAAATCAGGTTTCACTTACACTTGTTTCTGGATAGAACGCATACGAAAACTTAATCGTATTATTATACTGACGGGAAGTTAATCTTGTTTTACTAATCACATGTTAGTAAAACAAGATTAACTAAAAGATACTAATCGCATTTCATTCTAAGTAAAATAGTCCCCACATTCAAACCAAGTTTAGATATTGTACTCCTTCGATATACAGGCGGACTAGATATGTGGTTTAGTGTCCTTCTTCCTTTTCTTTTTAGATCCAAAAATGAATTTGGCGTTTTTCATCGAAATTTTACGAAAGTTATTTAATGCCAATTTATTTGGCATGGATGATAACATTAATCGTTTAAATCGCTTTTATACAATAGTAGGTTTATTAGTTGGTAAGTGAATACTCAATTTCTAATTTTAACTGTAGTCCGATACAAACATGCTTTGGAGAAAGGCCAACATGTATTCCATTCACTTCTTCAGCAGAAGCTACGTCATATATCTTATCTAAAGACCTAATTTAACATGTGGTTAAACATTGTACAAGAAACAGAAGAGAAAAAAGAGGAGAAATATAGCCTATTTCAAAATCAAACCTCACATTATAAACCTGAAGATGTTGTACGATGTACAGCCAAAGCGCGCTTCCAGAAATCAAAAAAAGAATCTTTCTTATTTCGTTTCTGTTTTAATTTGTCATTATTTAGATTCAGTAAGGTGTAATAATTATCTCAACAACAACATTTTTTGGGAATCCTATTAGCTGTTGGTGTCAAGATTGTGATCCAAGAATGATACAATACTATGTTGATAACTTTTGTTGGATTATGGATACACGTCATGCACGACAATAAATCCTTCGTCCACATGCAAAACCAACAAAAACGTAAGAAAAATCATTTTTATAGAATGTATGAGTCCAACGAAGAAATTTCTATGTAATTGAAGTATATTTAGTTAAAAGTTTTAAAGCGGTGTGGATATTTTTAATTACTCATTTTCGAGTTAGGGGGGCCCCTAACCCTAAAAATAAAAAACCCTAAAATAAAAAAGGGTTTCTGCAGCGATTTTTTTCTTTTATTTTCTAGAAATTAATATCTTTTTTAATTTTTGTGCATTTTAGAAGTTATTATCAGTACACACACTATATACTCGTCATCCTTATGTGCTTGTTTTCCATCCCACATATGATCTGGATGTAGATTTTAGGAAGTACTGGTTTAAAGCTGGATTTTACTAGCACCCGTCTAAGGCAAGAATGAAACTACTGCAAGCAATTTACTAATTTACTATTGTTTATAAAACCTTTATTTCTGTTTAGACACATAAATCAAACAACAGGCGCAGTCCAAAACGATCATTATGATGAACGAGCTGACCATATTCGATCGAGTATTCGATATCGTCATCCATTTTACCATCATTCGGAACAATTAAAAAGACATTTGTACGAATTAATGTAAGAAAATAATTTTATTTTCCTTTTGAATTATGTGCATTTCGAAGACTTTTACAAACTACGGACTATGTACTTTCTAACGTTAAGTTACCCTTAATGATGCCAGTTGAGAGCAATTTTATCAGAGAAATTTTGCCATCTTTTGGCGTTTATATCAACCATAGAATGATTGAGCAAAAATATCACATACTTCAAAAGCAATACTTTCTTAACGAATAATAATATCAATATTTTTTGTTAGATATAGGTGGGTAGATATACACCAATCTCCTCCAATAGCTGAAACAAGTACACTCGAAGTAACACCATCAGCAAGTATCACATTCGATTACCCAACTACACCCGATGAGCAACCACACAGACACAAAGCTACAAATTTTCAAATGCCGGACAGTCGTCTTGGTAAAATCAGAAGTGTTTTGGGAGTATGTTTTGGACACTTATGGTCAAATTTTAAAATTGGTAAGTACTTACGATAGTTTTTAAAAGTTTCATAATAGCTTGTTACAAGCTATTATGAAGCTTTTAGTGTTCTAAACGTCCCGCTCATCATTTCTTTTCTACTCCCTGTTGACTAACTTCGCTTCTATTTAGATACGACAAAATGGAAACTATTTGGTGGTATGGTTTGTTATTGTTAAAATGTTATACATTGCGAATTGTGTTGGTTGTTTTATATTATTAAATTATTTGTTGTAAGTAGTTCAACATGAGCAATATTGATACGAAAGATAGTTTGCTAGTTCGCTGTCATTCGGCATACTCGTCCTTACTGGACTGCCATACCAACATAAAATCACTCAGACCATATTTAAATGTTTTATGGTCGACAAATTTTACCCATATTGGACAAGAAATATTTGAATATTTATATTATAGTGAGTATTAAAAAAATCAGCTGAGCAAAAATTAACTTATTGAATTTCGTTATAGAAAAGCCACTTGATATGTCAATCAGATTTCCTCGAATTGTTTATTGTGATCTTATAGACGAAAAAAAGGTAACAAGTCACATTTTTAGGTGAATAATATCAGATTTGGATAAAAAAACCTTTCTCGAGATGAGAATGTAATGCTCGCCTTTCCGCAAAGAGTGCATAATCAGAAATATGTATATTCAATTTTTCTGAAAACATTTTCAAAAGGCAATTCCAGAAAATCTTGATAGTGTCAAATGCCAGAAGTTTCTAGTAAATAACGCAGATTTTATAGAATAGAGCATGATTTTCCCGTTAAGCGAAACCATCGAACAGCTTTGACCTATGTCTACATCAAAAGTTATGAGATGTTTATTTTCCGTCTTATAATGCGATCAATTTCTTTTTCGTTTTAGGGAATAACAACTTTAAAGCATTAACAAAATGCATTATACCACTAAATGCAATCAATGAAAACAATTTTGTAATAGTAAGTGTCGTAAGTTACATTAAGCCCATTTCATTTAGGTGATTTCCATGGGATGTATACCGTACTTTACAGCGAAGTCTGGCACATTAGTCGAGACCTATCTCATTCGAAAGAGCATCAAATTCTGAGCCAGGAAATGTATTTTTAATTTTCTAAGTCGATGCGAACAGGTCCGGGACGGGCTCGGGGGG